TTCTCTACGGGATCCCGCCATGCGAGTCCACACACACGCGCCAGCGCAACCACATACATATGTATGGTGACGCGTCGTATGTTCTATGAGCCTTATGAGGTGTTTTTAGTTTACTTCAACTTATTTGTACGCAAATTTCGCGCATGACATTTTTCCCGCTTTTTTCATATTTGTTATAATTTTTCTTTTTTCATTGCAAATTTCCCAGTTTTTGGGTTATTTATATTGGTTTTGTACGCTTGTTTAAGTTGTTTGGAGTGGGTTTTTTATTTTATATGCTGGAGTTTATTCTTTTTTATGTCGTAATTGTTTTGCAAAATATCGCATGCGACACATTTTTTTATACTACGCGCTAGAGTTATCAGTTGTTTTTGTTTATTATAATTAATTGGCAGTTTTATCGGCTTTTTATTTAGGCATATCAATGCTTGCTTCTGCTCTTTGCTAACTTCGTTTAGTGTTTAGTTTTATTCTCATATTTTCTCGCGTGCGATAATTTGCATACAATACGCGTTTATTTGTGCTCTTGTTTAATGGAAACCTTTATGAAATGTCAAAGTAAATAATAAATTAAACTGAATTTTGTAAATAATATCTTTAATTTTGTAATTTTTTCTAACTAATGACATGAAAATCTGATTTTATCTAACTGCTATGACATCGATTTACGCGGCTATTATAAAATCTGCTGATTTTTAAATATGTGTATGAGCCTTATGCGCCTACTATTTAGCTTAATTAAGTGATTCTATGTAATTATTCTTGCAAATTTACCTATTGGAACCCAGTTGTCATGCAAATGGTTTGGAAAGCAGTTTATGACATTTCGCAAATTTCATTAATTTCATAATGATTCCTATTGTGAAGTTGATATATATATCTATATATAATTAATATTAATATGAATTCTCATTACTGGTTATGGTGAACTTTTGACGATATATGTTGGCTGCATAAGTGATCAGTGTATATTTATATTGTATGCATTTTTTATATACAAAAACCTGCTTCTTAGCTCGAAGTGAATTACATATGATTTTTTTTTCTCCTCTCAAATCGTCCACATTGCTTACATATTGAAAGTTACGACGTCAGTTAAAAAGTGTTCGATAGGTACAGGGATTATTACATGATTTAAAATTGTTTAAGTCTGCGAGTATTTTTGGACTTTATGTAAGAAATATCAATTCTAAATTTATTTTGCTTTTCCTTATTGGAAACAAATGGGTGAAGTTCAAGTTTTGGGTAGGTAATTTATTCACTTATAAATATAAATATAAAAAACTTTTAATGAGAGCTCACTCATTAGTGTAAGCTTTTTACTAAATATGTGTGAAAAAAAAATTATTGAAGTATAAATACAACTTTTCAGCTTTGTGTGACAACTCGTGGTGAAAGCTTACTTGTTTGTGAAAGAGTTCTTATTTAAATTGTGGGAAGAAAGAAAGCTTATGAAGGGTTTTTACTTAAAATGGGTCTAAAACAATTAATAAAAGTATAAATTAAGTTTTTCAGTTCTTTGTGGAAGCTTTTGATGAAAGCTCACTCGTTAGGAAAAGCTTTCTTACCTTAAGTAAATGAAAAATTTATACTTTGAGCTGGTTGAAGCTGTTCTTGTGAGAGCTTTTGATGAAAGATCATTCTTTTGTGAAAGCTCTTGATTAAAACCTTCTTTGGAAACTTTTGAAAGCGTTTTCTCTCAAACGGTGTAGAAAAAGAAGCAATTTAAATACAAATGTAGTTACTGAGCTTTTGTGAATGGTTTCGCTGAAAGCTTATTCTGTGGGGAAGGCTTTCTTACTCAAAATAAAAGAAAAATAATAAAATTAATTATAATTTGAGTTGTTTGATCTTTTTGTGAAAGCTTTTCATGAAAGATCATTTTTTATGGAAAATCTTGATCAAATCTCACTCTTTTTCAATTCTTTGTGAAAGCTTTTTCGCTTAAAAAAGAAGCAATGAAAATATAAATGGAGGTTTTGAAATTTTCTCTAAAGTTTCGATGACAGCTTACTGTGAGGGGAAAGCCTTTTTGCTTAAAATAGGTAAACAAATAATTAAATTAATTTAAATTTGAGTTGTTTGAGCTTTTAGTGAAAGCTTGAGATGAAAGCTTCTTCTTTTGTTACATATTTCAACAAAGACCACTCTTTTTGCAAACTTTCCTTATTAAAACGTTTTTCTATACCAAGGTGTTCTAGGGAAACAACTCAAGTCTAACTAACCAAATAATCACGGCATCATTTCTCTATCCAAATTTTTTCTACTAAACTGTCTACACCAGTTTCACCTATGTCTACCATAAACGTAGCAGTGTTTGTATTAATTTTGTTTGGTAGTTGATGAAATTAGTTTAAAGTTTTGTTTTGCGTTTTCAGTTTGGAATTAAAAAATCTATTTACGCGCTAAGTTTTTGTTTAGGAAGAGAAAAGTTTTTTTTTTTTGTTTAAATACTAACAATTTAACTAAAGTATTTTTTATAAATTGGTTTTAAATGTATTACGATATTTGTGTTTTATTTTCTTTTTAGTTGGTTTTTACGATTTTTTTTGTTTGTTTAAACTTGTTGCATGGATTAAACATTTTTATTTAGATTTTCCGATTTTTTTGCGAGTGTATTTCTGTTAGTGTTTACAAGTCTGTGTGTTGGATTGATTGATTGTTGAAGGTGAGCGTTTTTGCTGTTGCATTTTTTTGTTATGTGTTAATCGAGTTTTTCTTTTTTTTTTATGGATGTGTGTGTGTGGTCGAATCCTTGTTTAGTTGTGTTGTGTTTCCCGTTTTGGGGTTTTTTGCTGGAAACTGATTTTCGCTTCGCCATATTTGTAACTGCGTTTAGTGACAATGTGTTGTTGTTGCATACAAATTGCGTTTGTATACAATTCGGTGTTTGTTGTACTTGTTTGTTTAATTTTGGTAGTTGCGTGCGTGTATTTGTGCGTCTTTGGTAGTGTTGATATTTTTCCGTTTGTTTGTTTGTGTGTTTAGATTTTTACGTTTTTTTTTGGTTTTAAATTTTAAAGTTTACTTAAAAATTTTCGTTATTAATTTAATAATTAACAAATTGATTTTATAATAAAACCAATAACAATAACCTCGCTCATATGGCTACGAGACAATAATATGTGGTGCTGATAGTAGTACAGCTATTGTGGCTAATATTGTGAACATTGTGAATATGATAAGGCACAGTCTGTCAACGACCATAGCTGCGAATTTCCAATCATTGGCAATGTCATTTTCCTCGTCTTCTTTGCGTAGCTGTTTTATTGTGTAGACAATTTCATACACATTTTTTTTTTTTAGTGTATTTAAATTGTTGTTATTGTTTGATTTATTTTTTTTCATGCATATATTATTTT